TTAGCTACCTATAATCTATCAACAAATATAACCAAAGGAAAATCTAAGGGCGGAAAAAAAAAAACCACAAACAACAACACAAAAAAGAAACCCTTGCGCATAAACAGGGCAAGCCATATGCCTGAGCAGGAATAGCGCAGGGCTCCGTTCCCCGGGCTTAAAGCAGAATAGCGTGGGATGGAAATGTGCACGCGTCAGCTTGTGGGAGGGACATCGGGTCTGATTGGGCCATCTGTCGGAGCCAAGCTCGGCTATCGACTATCTGCCGGTACCCCGGGGAAAAGTTGCGGCTGCGTTAGCATGCTCTCTCTGTCCGTTTGGTTTAGCGCGAGGGTATTTGGAGTATTGTTATTTTTCTTTTCTTTTCTTTTTTTTCTTTTTTGTTTTCCTTTTCTTTCCTTTTTAATTTTCCCTTTGCTTGCCAATAGCGTTCTGCTCGCGCGGGCTTGCTGTTCTCTTCGCAGGTGGCTTGCTTATTTGGAGAGGAGCGTGATCTTACAGCTACGGGCACTTGCTCGGGGAGTACTAGGTACACAAAGTAATTGTGCGCGGGGAGTGTCTGAGGTGCTTTATCTTTTGAGCCGCCCCGCTGGTGGTGATCTTGAATCCGAAGTTGCCACCGGGCTTTCCGCCTCATTCCGCGGAGAAGTATGATTTGTACGAGGTTGCCCGTACAATCAGTTGACAGTCTTGCTGTGGCTGAGGATCAAACAGTACTCATGTAAATAACTACTAAGCTAGACAGTGCAGTTGCACCTGCAGAACTCAGCTTTCAGTCTTTCTCATTGACTACGGGGGTTTACCGGAGTCCCACGCCAATGAGGAAGAACATGTATACTTGATTTCATTAAGCATCCATCATATCAAACTGCGCAGTGCCTTTTTCCCGGCTACGGTCCCTGTTCCCCTTCAATTGCCTCCAATTCTGCACCCCCACTTTCTTTCATCTTCCCCTGCTCCGAGAACAACCCACGAGATTGGAGGGACCCATGTTTCTATCCATAGGTTTACAAGAGGGGCTCTCCAATGTGACCAGTGGTTACTGACTACCTACACCCCGGTCTAAAGTTAACCCCAAGTCTCCGTCTGGGCGGGAAAGGGAAGGGGGTTGGGGGGGACTGTCAAAAAATTCAGCCATGGGAACTGCGAAAGAAAGGTAAGCTAGACCTGCCACTACGGAAACGAACCAGATGAAGGTGATGGTTCGTTCTCGGTTTTACTCCATTTCCCGAAGAAGCGGAGACCATGTGTTGGTGGCTTTTAGTTCTGAGAGCTCCGCTTCCCGCAACTGTTGAGTACGGTACCTAGAGTAGTAGCTTTTGCCCTTTTCCTGATTGGTAACTTCAAGGTTGATGCTAAAACCTATCCAAATGTCTGGACATTGACAGAGAGAACGCTACACCTAAAACCGCAAAAGAACAT